CTGATCTGAAACAGAAACTGCAACCATCCAGGATCTTGGCTAGTCAGTGACTTCCCAGAGGGGTATCTCCTTCTGGTCTTCTTCAACATTATATCTTCCTGGAAGAGCTCCCTCCCTTCTTCTTTGCTTCGGTCTTCTTCTGGTCATAAGCATATGAGCACCAGCCTGTTGCAACACGCATCAAGAAGCAGAAGATCATGAACGGAAAGATTAAGGATCCACTTGCTTTTTATTCCTACAAATATGTGTCAACTTACATGAATATCATAGTTTACCTCCTATTTCTGAAACAAGAACAGCAGTCATCTGGTTTCCTTGGCAAAGCTGTCAATCCCTTTCTAGAGCAAATTGTCATTCTCTGAAATGTTCTTTCTGTGCTCACTTATCAGGCACAGTCCTGATAACCACTCATCTGTCTTTGTCGATCTCAACCATGTTTTCACCTTCTTATCATATTGAATGACCTCTCCACTGTGCAGGTTAGTAGTGTTGGCGTGATAAGAATTGAGTGTCGATCTGAAGGGAATACTGCAGTGTGCTGCAAGAAATCCTGAAGTTCGTTTTCAAGCTGAAGAAGACCAAGGGTCTCCTTCTTTGACCACATTTCATGTCAGATGGCTGCTTCTGCATGCAAATTGTCCATGTTATATATGATATTGATTTCTGCTTGGAATTCTGTCACTTCAGGTACTGCCACATGGCATGGAAAAAGTAAGAAGACACTGATGACTTGCATGTTTCTGCGCCAACTTGTTTTCCAATGATGAAATCACTGAGTGCAGGGATGGTACATAGAAAGACTAATGGGAATGTTCCAACACATTTCACACTGACATCTCTGAAGTCCACGCTGTCAAGGGACCTATCACTCAGTCTCCAACTTCTCTGCTAGCTGTTGAACTGTGACTAAGATCCCCTTGAAGCGGCCCTCTACTTTTTCCCTGTGACCACAAAAGACAACGAGGACCTTCTAGATGTGACTGCACACTTGAAGAATAGGTAGATGTGCAGCTTGCACATCTGATATCACAGATTTCAATGGTGCTGAGTACCCTGAAATTATAACAAGCAAGATGAGGAAACATGATGCCCTCAAAGAACATTATAGCTGCTAGGCATCCCAGTGTATTTTTCCTGACGAGGTATTGACTAGTACAGTGATGGCGAAACTTTTGGGCTCGGCGTGTCAAAAATTTGGAAAATGCCTAACTTGACTCTGCTGGTGTGTCACACCCCCACCCCACCCCAAACAAAAGAGAGACCATTTTTTACATATTCATTTATTTTAAAAAATGCAGTCCAATCATGCGTGGTGCTACGTATTATACGAAGAAATGTCAAATAATTACAAAAATGAAATATGAGTAAAACAAACTCAGTTTCTTCAGTAACTCAGACAGGGAGAATAGTTGTTGTCAGGTGTTGGTGAATGCTGGCATGTCACCCAAAACGTCATGGAATGTCACCTTTGACACACGTGTCATAGGTTTGTCATCACTTGACTAGTACATGCAACTGCTCAAAACGCATGTCAAAGTTGCTGGAACATTCTCCAAAGTGCTTGTACCTCACAGTAGTGGCACAGCTGGAATAAGTTGTCTTCTTTTTGTGCTCTCAGAGAAAAAAACTGGTGCTGGTTTGACCATGCCAATTATATTCCTCATCTTGAGCAAGCATTCGAGTTTTTGTGCTCTAAGCTACACAATGACCCAAAGCAACTCTCAGATACCAAATCTTATTTTTCCCTGCCCACCTCCTTTTTGCTACAGAGCAGTCTTCACATCCTTGCCCAAGGAACTCCTCCAGACTGAAGGTGAAGTTTGGGTACCCACCAAGTATACGGTTGGCAGTGGAGGTTGTATCCAATGCAGTTGGGGTCACACCTCCAAAGAACTCTGTCTGTGTTATGGTTTCATTGCCAGCTATGCGAGTGACATTCACATCAAATCATAACTATTCCTTTTCAGATATGTTCGCAGCCTTATCAGCAATCATGGAAAAGTCGGTCAACATGCTGGCTGCCAAAGCAATTTCTTCTCCAAGAGCATCTTCACACCGGTGTCAGCTCTTTGAAGTAGGCCAGATCAAAACAGGCAGAGCAGGGATTCCAGGAATGTTCTTAATCGCAGTAAGGTGAAATAAAAGAATCCTGAACCCTTGCCCAAGTTTCTTTCTGTCCCATCTAATACTATACAAATCACAGCTGGGCTGTTCTGAGGTTCCTCCTCACACTTTCCTCTTTCTTGGAACTGTGTAAACTTTTCTGAAAGTGCTGGAGCTGCAAAGACTTGTTGGGAGGGATCAACAACAACATACTTTATCAAGTATGGTGGGCTGGCTGATAGCTCAGTGTGGTTATGTGACCCCAGATCTTGTGGTATCTTTCTGTGGAGTGTGTGGGGTGATTCCAGAAAATTTGGGAAGCCATGCTTCAATTGGCCCTGGGCCAGCAGCGTGTTATACAAAGCCAACCAATGCAAGCAGGATCAGGTACTGACTCCCCATTCAACCGCTAAGTTAACCAAAAGTGAGGGCCAGGTTCTGCCAACAAGTAGAGACAAGGGCTAGATTCCTACAACCTGCTGCACTACAAACTACCCAACCTCCCTTTAGCCTATCCTGGCATGTTGTGTGAACCCAACCAGGGTATTCCTCCTATAAAAGTAGTTATGGGCTTGGAGTCTTGAAAAGACTGTCATGTCATATTCAGTCCACTGAGAATCTAATAGATTGTACTCCAAAAATACTGAAAATGGGGATTGCCACCTTTCTCCTGGTCTGACTCCCCAACCTTTGACAGAGGAGGAATGGGAGCCATTGCACCAGACCTTCACATACCAAGGGAGGGCCATCCAATACAGCTTCCGTATCTGAAACAAGAAGAGGGATTCAATACTTAACACTGAATAAAGCAGGGAAGAAATCAATTAATTCAAGCCCAAGAACTATTTAAGGACTGGTGGGGGTGGAGTGTCTTAATGGTTTTACTGGGTGATTGACTTCTATGGATGAAAAACAGTGGAAAGGAAAATTATTTCCATGTTAAGAAAATATGTGGTTTCAAATGATTATTCTGCTCCCCTCTCCTTGGGATGCCCAAAGGCTGAGTTCTCACAACCTGCTAAGCTAAAATGGGACTTTGGACTGGTGTGGCTCAATTCACAGAACGGGCTTGCCTGTAGTTAACCATAGCCTGGGTCCACACAACATATCAAATCCTAAAGTAACTGGTAAACTGTGGTGGACTGACTTGTGGTTCAGGATGCCATGAGAACACAACCAGTTCTCATGCAGTTGGGGTACTTCAGCAACCTGTGGTTCAGCTAACCATGGGTTAGCCCCTTGTGCAAACATTACACCCTTAGCCTGGTTACTGGAATTAGCCCATTTTCTGGGGTTGCGCAACACACAGAACCATAAACTAACCAAGGTGATGGGTTTGCATAACTCAGCAAGCTACATGAAATTATCCAGGGTTAAAACTAACCAGGTTTAGCTTCTTGTCTGAAACCAAATGGGCCCTGCTTGCTCTGGTGCCTTGAAGATAGAAAAGTAGCAGTTTGCACTGTCAGGGAAAGGAAAGCAACGGCGAGCAGAAGGTTAGGCTGATATTCAAGGTCGCTGAAGGCAGGAGGAAACCTTTGCCAGGGTCGTTTCTGACTCATCCACTAGGCGCACCTTTGGGAGGGGATTAAATTGACAAATTATGCTCAACTTACTCAGGTCAATTACACCTTGGTTTAGATGATGGGTGCTTTTGTTGTTCAGCTTGTCAACTTTCTGTGAAGCCCTTGGTGCTCTCTGAGCTTGGTGGTTTGCTTGCAGACGTTTCATTACCCAACTAGGTAGCATCATCAGGGCGAGTGAGTGTGGGGTCAAAAAAAAGCTAAGAAGGAAACCGAAAGACCAGAACACGTCCTCTCCAGCAGCCAAGATCCAGATAAGCAGGGATTAACACCAGACAAACAATCAGGCAGAAAACAGTACCCTAATCAAGGAATTACCAAAGAGAAAACCACACCCCTACCAAAACTGGCAGGACAAGCTACTGTATATAGACAAGGAGCAAACCCCACACTCACTCACTAGCACTGGTGATGTTACCTAGTTGGGTAATGAAACGTCTGCACGGAAATGACCAAGCTCAGAGAGCACCAAGGACCTCACAGTTCAACCCTGAGCTTCCTATATTCTCTTCTATTGTCAACTTTCCCTTTTCCCTTTGTCTTTGAGGATCATTTATTTATCAATGTGATTTTAAAATGTACTGATATCATTAAGTCTTATTTCGTTGGGTGCATTTTAGAGCCACGCTCCGTCGTTTTTTAACTCTTTCTTCATCTCATCATTTCCACAGGCAAAAAAAAAACAAAAAAAAAAACAGGCACTAGTATTTAACAAATGCCTGCCCTTTATTGTTTAAATTTACAGCCGGCTGGTCAGCAGGTTTTTCCTTCCAGTCTGATTGCTCGCCGAGATTGCTAGATCAGTGTGGGCTGCCTCCTGGAGTTGCGATATGAGAAGATAAGATGGTCCACCCCAAGGGGGTTCTCCCACCTCCAAGCTGCTTGGTCAGGTCCCCAAAGCAAGGGGGCCTTGCTTGCTCCCTTCCCCAATGACTGCAGGGATTCCCTGCTTAAACCCCCCCCCCTTTTCCTGCTCCTGATTCCCCCGCTTTGCAAGGTGCTGGCAAATGCCTCCCGTCCAGGATTTCCCTTGCATTGCTCCTGGCCGGAGTTGCCGCGCAACAGAGGCACCAATTGTTATTTCAGTCTCCGCTGTTTTCCTCTGCTTCCTCTTTCCTCAGCCAGGCTCCAGACCAATATATTCTCCCACCGCCACCACCCTGCTGCTACGGCTGTTTAGCAAAGCGAGAATTTTCCCTCCCTTTGCTTCTATGCCGGGGTTCACACAACCTGCCGAGCCGGGTTTTATATTAACCCAGGTTTTTTTTATGGGGGGGGTTGCATCAGTCCTTGAACTATAAGCTACCCCAGTGGACTGGGTTCACACAAGGTACTAAGTTCCCCCAAACCTGCCCCCAGTTTCCATGAACAAACTCGAGAGCAGCGATTTGCAACTTTAAGATGGGTGGCCTTCAACTCCCAGAATTCCCCAGCCAGCACGCTG